GGATATACTGGGTTCTACAAAGTACTGTTCTCACCGTTACAGCATGTAAAATAATTACTCCACTTCTCTTGATACTTGTTAACTGCACACCCCATTGGCCTGGATGGGTAACTAACCATAATGAAAGACTAGGAAGACCACGGCAGAAGGTTAGCAAATGCACAGAGTCTACAACCTAAAGGTCTGGGCTTCCCTTGTGGCTCAGCTGGTAAAGAATCCGCCTGCAATATGGGAGACCTGGGTTTGATCCCTGGGTTGGAAAGATCCCTTGGAGAAGGGAAAGGCTACCCACTCCAGTATTCTGGCCTGGAGAATTCCATGGACAGTCCATGGGGTCGCAAATAGTTGGACACAACTGAGTGACTTTCACTTTCACTTCACTTTATTCAATAGCATAAGGAGAACTGCCAAATTTCAGGATGCTACATCCCAGGGGAATATTCTACAAAGGGGGATGAGGTACAAATGGGCAGTGGCTGAGGTACGAATGGGCAGTGGCTGAAGCACAAAAAGAACCAGAAATAGTCACTGATTTTGGAGGAGGCCATTGAGAAATATGACAAATCATTACTGACCATCTGACGGGGACATTTACATAGTAAGCATTTATTCCTGCAGACATCTAAAGGATTCCCATCACTGTTCCACGAAGCAGGTCATGTGGAAAGCTTTTACACATTTAAAATAGTTCTTAAAAACACACTGTGTATTTTGGGGCACTCTGAGTGCCTCACCCATTAAAATAGGTCTTTAAAGTTGGAAGGGGAAAGAACCCTTTATAGACGGAGGGCTTGATGCTGAAGGAAATGAGTTGACTTTAGCGACCACCACAGGAAGAATACTAGGCACAGCTAGAGGCTGAAATCGCCTCAAACCTGAAAAGATGCTTAACTGTGCTTAAAAGAGAATCTGAAAGTTGCCTGTGAGCTTACACCTGGCCCCAGTTGAGCTTCCTCATCAGCATTCCAAGCCCTGCCTCGGAAAGCTGGGGAAAAGAATCTTGCAAGCACAGGAAAATAGACAAATTTCTTTCCTTCAAGCCTAATCTGATGATTTAAATCTATCCAGCCTAATGCCTCTCAGGTGTTCTAACCATCTTATGCCTGTTAAGAGCGCTTCTGCAGGGAGTTACTACCACTAGTAGCGTCTCTTCTGATTAAACACATCTGCCACAAAACAGCAGGTGCCTTCTGGACATAGTGAAATTCACAGAAATCCTAATAGGAAATTTGCAAAAGGTTTTGAAGGCTGGTGTGTGAAAACATATTTAAGTTTTCTCAGACTTTGGGGAAACACAGTGGGAGAAGTTTGTTTAACATTTAATGTCTTTTAAATAAAGGCAGCCCTTTGAGCCCCTGAGCCACCAGGGAAGCCCCCGTGGACTGTAGCCCACCAGGCTCCTCTGTCCATGGAATTTTCCAGACAAGAACAGTGGAGTGGGTAGCCACTCCCTTCACCCAGAGCTCTTTCCAACCCAGGTATTGAACCTGGGTCTCCCGTACTGCAGGCTGATTCTTTGGCATCTGAGTTACCAGGGAAGCCTCAGACAAAGGCATCAGAAAGATATTAATAGAGTGGAGCTGTTGGCTAAAATCAGTTCTAAAAAATGAAACAATTAACAAGGTTAAAGGAGAATTTTCAAAAGTGTTAAAAGCATGACTTTCCTGAAACACAAAAATCAACACATGTTTAAGATTCTGTGGAAACAGAAAAGATTTTACAACCAACTCAAAGGAGATCCAAACAGCAGACACGTTTTTAGATCAGGAGTGATGTGAATGTGTAAAGGGGTGGCAAAATTCACCTTTTCCACTGTGGACTGTGAAGTCAACTGCACCTCTGTGGGACAGAATTTATACACCTACAACAGAAATTATTTTATACTCTGCTATCAGTTTCCTACAACTTACAGAGTTGTAAAACAGCTTTGTAGAATCAGAATTAGATAACCTGGAATGATGTGCTATTGAGGATGCATAGTTTTCTATGGAGGCACAATTTTTTTCCCTACACAGATCACTGCTCATTTTATTTATTGCTGTATTCCCCAAACCTGGAACAGGGTAGATGCTCCATAAATACTTGCTAAACAGATAAATGTCTACTATGTATCAGGCATAAAGCTAAAGCCTTCACATGCATCATCCCCTTTAATCTTCCCAACAGCCTTTTAAGATAAATATTATTCTCATATCACTAACTTGAAACTAGCTTGTGTGGTGTTGCACAGTTATTACTTGCCAGAGGTCGAGGGGTGGAGAGCGGGGTAGAGGCAGGTGGAGAAGGAAGATTTGCCTCAGGATCATAATCAGAAAACCCGTCTTTTTTTTTTTTTTCCTTATTCTTTCTTCTATTCAACACATCTTTTAAATTTATCATTATGGTATCATGTGCCTCTAAATTAGGGGATTGTTTATATGTTACAGAGATATAGACATGATCCCTTGATGAGCTTGATACTGGAGATCCTGGCTTTAAGAAAAGTAAATGAACAGCATTACTCAGGAGAATCTAAGCACAAATAAGAGACATATGAACATCATTATTGTGGCCTTGCAGATAAGAACTGGAGAAGGCAATGGCACCCCACTCCAGTACTCTTGCCTGGAAAATCCCATGGACGGAGGAGCCTGGTGGGCTGCAGTCCATGGGATCGCTAAGAGTTGGACATGACTGAGCGGCTTCACTTTCACTTTTCACTTTCATGCACTGGAGAAGGAAATGCCAACCCACTCCAGTGTTCTTGCCTGGAGAATCCCAGGGATGGGGGAGCCTGGTGGGCTGCTATCTCTGGGGTCACACAGAGTCATACACGACTGAAGCGACTTCGCAGCAGCAGCAGCATACAAGAACAGAATATTACCAGCCCAGATCCCAACCTCCATCCTTAGGTGCTCATTACAATGTTTAGGATAATAAAGATGGATGAATTCAGCAGTGTTTATGGGTGTGGTTTGTTTTCATAGAAAGCAGAGCAGCACTGGGGAAGACAGCAGTGACTAGCATTTACTGTGTGATTACTGTGACCATGAAGGACTTTCACAGCAACACTTTTTGGCAGGTACTACCATCAGCTCCTGTTTATGGATAAAGAAAGCCGAAGTAACCAAGTCACCTTCACAGAATCACACCGCTAAGCTGCAAGTCTGGGCACTGACCTGGGACGTGTAACTACCGCCCAACCCTCACTCTAAGACACTCTACAGACTGCATCAGTTGTTGAGGTTTTCTCTGCCATCATATCTTGATTTTTCACAACCCTCCTTGCCTAGGTTTATCAGAATCTACAAGGGCACTAGGATTCCTGGAGCTTCCAGCACCACAGGGCTGGTAACTGCAGGCTGGCTTAAGTCCGGAGAGCTATCTTCTGGCCACTTGGCACTGTGATCATTTGGGTAGTTTACATTCACCCTTGGAGAGGCAGGGGTCAGAGATAAGGGGACAAAAGTAGTCTGTCTCAAACAGATGAATGTCAAAAAGATGTGTGCCAAATGTTAATCTGAAATCATTCTCTCTTAAGTCCCCCAATAATCCCCTGCTTTCTTTGCTTGCCAGAAAACAGGCTGCCCTCAGAATGAGTAGTATGATTTTAGACATATCCAGATGAGTTTTGACATGAAGAATAGGTATGCAAGTGTCAATAAATCGTCAGTGGTTTATTATACCATTTCATTTAATCTTCAAAACAACTCTCTGAAACAGGTATTATTATTATTATCTCCATTCAGGAGATGAATAAGTGAGGTTGAATAACTTGCCTAGGTTAAAGAGTTTGACCAAAATCCCAAGAAGTTTGAGATCTACCAACAGAGGTGTCCACGGAGACCAAAAGCAATATGACAGCTGTTTGCAACACGCCACTTAGCATAAAGCCTTTGTAAGTGGTGTCATTTACTTCATAAGCACTGAAGCATGAGATCTTTATTTCTGAGAGGTATAATGCTCACGCTCTTCAAACCATTGTAAATGCTTACCCTTCCCTCAAGGGTATCACAGAATTCCTACCCCTAATAAAAGGTAGCACTACTTTCAAATACATAATGAAAAAAGGCTTTGCTATTACTATCAGATAAACATTAAGAAAGATCTCTGGTGGCTCAGACGGTAAAGAATCTGTCTGCAATGCAGGAGATCTGGGTTCGATCCCTGGGTCAGGAAGATCCTCTGGAGAAAGGCATGGTAACCAACTCCAGTATTCTTGCCTGGATAATCCCATGGACAGAGAAGCCTGGCGGGCTACAGATCTGGACTGAAATCAGGACTTGTCCACTTTATCCCCCCTGAAGCACAGTTTTGGTGCACAGAACCTGTTTCTCTGGCCTTTCATTACAGAGTTTGAAAAGAGAAGGGTGGGAGGAATGGGTGAGGCCTGCAAAAGACCTCCTGACCCTGATGAGCATCCCTGTGGACCCATCAGCTTCCTCTCACCCACCCCATTCTCCAGCTGAGAGCCACGACCCTACAGGCTTTTACAGTTCATTATACTGTCGTATTTCCTGCTGCCAAGTGCTTCTCAACCTCCACATACAATACTTAAAGCCCCCTGATCTAAACGGAGGCTTAATTTGTGCTTTGAAGGTATTCATCTCGGGGGCAGTGAGTTAGTATTATTATACTCACTCCAGAATTTTCCCATTCAGAAATCTTTTCTACTGAAAACATCTACCTACGGATCCTGTAACCAAGCTCATTTGAAAGACTTCCTCCCTTTCTTTTCTCAAGGACTGCAACACTCTTATTTTCTCTAGAATCCTCCCACCCTTAACCCTGATTACCACATACATTTATATTGGACACTCAAAAACCCATGGCTCCCTGTAATAACCACATTTGCTTGTTAAGTTGCAGTGGCGTGCCTGGATCTGGAATTTATCACCCCTTTTAAAGTAAACAAAGGCCAGAAAACTTCAGCAGGAAGATGCTTTTTCATTGTGAGGGTGTGGGAAAGGCCATCGAGATGGGGAGAGGGACTGAGTTATTTCGGATACTGCATACTTTACCAGTTATGTCGTGCTGTTTGAATGACTCACTGTAGATCTGATACTGATTCGGACAATGTTTCTTCAGCCACTTGCAGACATCCTGCTGGGTCCACAGGGCCACTGGTTTTGACAGCTTCACCGTAGCTGACTGTAAATAAAGAAGGAAAAGAAGGTCTGTTAACACCAGTCCCATGCCTAGAGAGGCACTACTGTTGGAAGTCCTGTAGTGTGGTAAAGCAGGGGTCCCCAAGCTCCAGACCACACAGCTGCACCTCCTGTCAGATCAGCAGCAGCATTAGCTTAGAAACAAAGTGCACAATAAATGTGATGCACTTGAATCATCCAGAAACCATCCCCGCCCAACCCTGGTCTGTAGGAAAATTATCTTCCTTGAAATGTGTCCCTGGTATCAAAAACATTGGGGATCACTGTCAAAGCGACAGGCTGGATTCCCTGAAGAAACATATCTGACTCTTGTCCTCCTTTAACGGTCTTCATACCACTGAAAACGAGGAAGAAAAGGTCCAGGTGGAGAAAGCCATGAAAATGACACCCATCCTCGAGTTCTCTCTGTTGGGGAAAGTCCCCAGGAAGCAGGGTTTTCTGATGACTATTCTCACAACAAGACAACCGGATTGCTAAGTAGCTGATTAAATTTTGGGGGTGAAACAGCTGCCCCCAAATGACCTTTCTCCATATTCTAAGACAGTGTTGATTTTTCACTATCCTCCAATATCTCTAGGACCTAGGATAACTGGCCCCAGCAGGTGCTAATACTTATTTTAGAAACATTATAGGATTTAGATACTTGTATACTAAGAAGCATGCAAGTGGGCCTGGGAGCTCTGGATGTAGGGTGGTCCTGTAAAGTCTAGGAATTAATTATGCACAGTAGGTAAGGGAGAAAGTCAATTCCATCAGCATGTGGGAATGGTAATAAGATAATGGCTGTGGCTAGACTCCATGTAGAAGCCAACCAGCTGAGGTCTTTTACTGTTCACTGGCTCTTTCAGGGAGGTTTATGAAACAAAACAGAGAGGTGGGCGAATGCCAGGTTACAAGTACGTTCACTCATTAACAATCACCAATGGTGTTAGAGGCCCATCTTCCTCACAGACCCCAGGAACTTTTGGTTGAGGGGAGATGGAAGCTTAATTAGCTATAGCTTTTTTTTTTTTAAATCATTCTGAATCACTGTTTGCATTCTGGATCAGGATTTTAATGTAGGTGGTTCTTTAAAGGATGCAGGATGGTACACAGACCTGGCCTTAAATATTACTGACACGTCTTTCATTTCCCTTTACACTTTCAGATTACGGCAAGGGGAGAGCCTTGATTTCGCATAAGTGTTATTTAATACATCTAATATCTTACAACACACACTGACATGATCTTTGACAAAAATAGGGCTTCCTTCAGCCTCAAAACTGTCATCAGAAAGCAGAATTGTCATCTAGCACATAATAACTGCTCTGCTTTATTTTTTTTTTATATTTAAGGTTATCCTAAATCTTTGCTTTTAAAACAAATTTGAGTTAAAAAAAACCTGGGTCATTATTTGCAATTTCCAAGATACAGAAGTAGATTAATGGATAAAGATGTGTATACATATACACACATACACAGAAATAGACAGATCCATACACATATACATACAATGGAATACTACTCAGTCATAAAAAATAACGAAAATTTGCCATTTGCAGCAGCACAGATAGACATTGAGGGCATTATGCTAAGTGAAATAAGACAGAAAGAGAAACACAAATACTTTCTCTTATCACTAGATATCACTTATAGGTAGAATCTAAAAATAAAACAAACTTGTGGCTGTAATGGCAAAGAAGCAGGCTCACAGATGTAGAGAACAAATTAGTAGTTACCAGCGGGGACAGAAGAGAGGGCAGGAGCAATATAGGGGTGGGGAGGAAGAGGTACAAACTAATAGGTATAAAATAAGAAACAAGGATGTATGGTACAACATGGGGAATGTAGCCAATATTTTATAACAACTATAGAAGGAGAATAATCTCTAAAAATTGTGAATCACTCTATTAGACACCTGTAACTGATACTGTACATCAATTCCAATAAAAAACAGGTCAATTTCAAGAAAAAATTAAGGAAACAATAATACAGATGGTAACAGTGAAAACAGAGGATAATTCAAGCTTAGAAAACTGTTCAGGTGTTATGTTTTTTTAGTATATTTCCAACTGCATGATTCTTTGGGCCATCACTTATAATCACAAAACATATATCAATTTTTGGTTTGTGCTGTGGTAAGTTTTTTCTTTCACTCTTAAGAGTGGCAGAATCCATTTTCCCAAAGATGATTTTACATGTGCACATACATGTACATATGCACATACATATCTGCTTTTCATTTATTGTGACTGGCACGCCTCCACTGATATTCAGGGTTGATGGTCCCTCCCCCTGAACTCTGACAGGGATCACAGGGAGCCAGGCCATGGAATATAGTGGGATTGATTCTATCTGTGACTTCTGAGACTACATCATGAAAGAGATACAGCTTCTACCTGGCTCAACCTCTCTGGCACTCACCTTTGAAACCCAGACACTATACTGTGAGGAAGCCCTGACCACATGAAGAGACCAGATATAGGAGTTTTGGCCAATCCCTCAGCATAAGATCTTAGCTGACAGCCACCACTAACCTATCAACCATCAGACAAATGAGTAGACAAGCTGCAGATTATTCCAGCCACCAGGAATCAAATCTTTTAGTTCAAACTCCCAGATACCCTGATGCAGAAACAAATCAATCGCTGACCCATATAATCCACAAAGAACATATACAGTTCTTCCACCACTGTGCTGGGGTAATGGCAACCTTAGCAACTGAAATACTCAGAACAGAACTGTGACAACTGAGCTTCCCAGAGAGCCCTGAACTTAATAGATGCTCTACAGAGCCATAATGAATTAATGACACCGTTCTCATCGAGTCTGAGGGCATAGTCCTGCCTTGCTACTTAATCAGCAGTGGATTGGAAGTCCAGCCCTCTCTTCTCTAGCCCCACTGTGTGCAGCTCATGTGGCCCCTAATTAACCTCGTCTGCCTCTTCCTTCCACTCCACAGCCTGTGGGTGCAGACAGGAAGCCCTTTTCTCTCCAATCAACCAGATCAACTGTTTTCCTAATTTTGATGAGAAAGAAGGGCCTCTGGCACGGATAGAGCAAATGAGCTAATGTTTTCTTGTTGTTTAGTTTTTTCCTTTCCGCCCGTCATTGCCTTTCCCTCACATGATTAAGAAACCAGAGATTTGGCTCTTTTAGCTAGAAATGAACTTCCCACCATGTTTCACAAGTCAGCACCTCTGAATCTGGCTCCTTCCTGCTCTAAAAAGTTTCCTTCAGATTAGCTGAATGAGTTCATAGCTGACACATCATTGCCCTGAAACCCCTAGCAAGTTTCTTGCAAGTAAAGCTAATCAAATCTTTTGAAAACGCCTATAAACCAGTCACAGAAGGCTGTAAATTAGGAAGGGAGAAGCAGGAGGGTAAAACTGCTTACATATCAATATACCAAACTTCCTGGGAGGTTATTCTTTTACTTGCTCACTTCCTAGGGAATGAAATACCCTCAGCACCAAGACAAGCCCCATCAACTGGAGATTCAGAAGGAGATGAATCCAAACATCCCAAGTCAATGCAGAATACACCCTCACCAGCCCATCATGTATGCTTGTGGGATAAATTTCCTTTTAATATAAATCTAGGTGCTCTGAGGCTAACACTCCAGGTGTGGTCTTGATTTGCCTTCACCCTATACTTTTAGTTCTTTTTAGTCACTAAGTTTTGTTCGACTCTTTGTGACCCCATGGACTGTAGCCTGCTAGGTTCTTCTGTCCATGGGATTTCCCAGGCAATAATACTGGAGTGGGTTACCATTTCCTTCTCCAGGGTATTTTCCCAATGCAGAGATTGAATCCACATCTCCTACAGTGGCAGGCTAATTCCTTACCATTGAACCACCAGGGAAGCCCACACTCTTACTCTTCAGTAATTTGATGTTACCTGCTTAGATGGTAAAACTTCAGGCATACATTTTTAAGATTATATGAGCCTACGGGGATATGCCTCCCTGTAAACAGGCATAACAGATATACTGGGGAGGGACAGAGATTCTTACTGTTAATAAGCCCTGTTTGTCTCTTACTCAGATAGTGATGTAAGTATTGGCCCCATTTAACTGACTCAGCCTTGGCTCTACTCTGAACTTATTAGTTGGCTACATGTTAACTTGTGAAGAGCCATTGTGACTCCCACTGCCCTGGTCTGCAGCTGCCTTCTCCATTCTCAGAGCAGACTTTTGTTTGTTTTGCTTCAACTTTTCCTGGTGGAGCAGCCCAGGTCACTTCCACTCCTCCTCCATTATGATGCCCCTAATAGCAACCAAGCTTGGGGAGTCAATGCCATCACCTGATTTCTTTAAGAGCTGAGACTTTATTTCTCTGCGCAATCTGGGACAGCAAACGTGTGTCACACACACACCAGTCTATTCAATAGTCACCTTGTCCCACTGGGAGGTATACAGCTGTCCAGTCTTCATGGTGTTACTTCCTTGCCCCTCCCACCCAACAGGCATGCCTCTCTCTACACGCAATTAGATAATTTTCTTGAATATGCTGTATTTCCCCTCACAGGAAGAGTCTAAACCAAAATAACAGTTCGTAAAACAAAGAGAGAGTATTTCATATTTATTAGAAAGTAATTAAAAAAAAAATCTTGCCCAAGGCAAACATTAGAAAAAACACCTGCCCCATTTCTTTCTCCATGCTCAGGAGGTCTGCTGCATCATACTCTGATTTGCAGCCCTGGAGACAATTTTGGTTTATTCTGCTGCCCTGAAAGAGGCTGGAGGCAGTTTGTTATCTTAAACCCTAAGCACTGGACGCCATGCAGAATTCCAGGCATTTCTTTCTGAATTGGTCCTGGCCTTTCTATAGACAATGTGAATGTGCATTTCAGACACCGTCACTTTCTGTTTTATAGACACCTCACTTTATGCAAAAGACACATGACATTTCTGAAAGTCCTTTAAAAGGACTTTTAAAGAAAGTTGTCTGCAAATTATTTTTTGCAAGAAATTCTCATTTTAATTTTGCTTTAATCCATAAT